CTGCCCTTCCCCGAGTAAATAAATAAACGAATAAATAAATAAATGAGCGCATAAATAAGACGAGCTGTGGACAATGCAGCAGCGGGCGTGGGAGGCAGCGCAGACGCGGAGGGCCGGAGGTGATGCTGGGCGCTCGCTGGCCCGGCCACGGCCCGCTGTTATTTTCATTCCTTGCTCCCAAGTATATCGAGGCTGCTTCATCTCCTTTTGTTCAGCGCTGGGGCACAACAGAAAAATGTGTTTGGGGAATTTCAGCACTTGCTGGGTCATGGGGGAGGTCAGGCCGCTTTTGTTGGGAGAGAGGCAGAAGAAGAAAGAGGGCAATCAAATATCCTCCTCGAGACAGCTTACAAGCACATGTCTCATGCTGTCAGGGGCGAGGCTCCAGCGTGACACTTCCAGCTCCTTGTCTCCGTGCCAAGCTGAATATGTTCCGTATACATTATATATGTGAGAAGTGGTCGCCGCTTCCCCTGCCGACCGCAGCTTTAAGACGTATTATAACGGAACTATTGTGTGGGATTAAACACATTTGCTGTGGTTGCAGCGTGAGGAGTGTGTGACTGCTTGCACTTGCTGCGGAGCACCCCCATTAGCGCGACTGCAGAGGTGCTCATGCAGAGGTCAGCACCGTGGTGCACTCAGAGCCGTGTGCTGCCGATCCTGTTTTGTAACAAGCAAACACGAGGCAGTTTTGTCGCAACCGCATCAGTGTGAATCAAAAGAAGGGCCTGGGCGTGCACGGGAAATTACTGCTAGTGCTATTCAGCAACGCTGCTCTGATAGCTCCCGTTCCAACATCACTGAGATTTTCTGGAGTAAATCTTTCAGATGAGCGCTACTGTGGAATAAAACTATTTCTCCTGGAATGATGTTTCCTCCTTAAAAGCAGATGAAATGAAGGTCACGCTGAGAACAGCAGCTCTGCACAGGGCCTTGGTACTGCACAGATGTGCTGCTCAGCTCTGCAGCATCCCCAGGCCCTGAAACCTTGCGGTGTCAAAGTACTGTGAGCAAGACTGAAAAGAAGCATCCCACAGGAAAATGCCCTCCATGCCAGTACAGGCCACTGCTATTTCATTACCTCAAAATATGCTCGAGTCCCAGAGCTAACTGCTTTATGATCTTTCAGTTTGAATTAAAACAACTCAGGTCAGATGCAGCTACACATTTAGATCATTTAAAAACCAGAAGTTTAGCAGAAAGCAGCTTCAATGCCTAACCTTGGTCTGACAAAACCAAGGAGGCACTTCTGTTGCTAATTTTTGTCCGGGTATTCCATAATGCAATGGAAGAGACAGCCAGTGATGGTTTGATTTTGACCTCCCTGGAGGAGAGATTTTGCTTGCTGAGGCAGCCACATTCAAATACTTGCCCTGTTCAGAACACAGTTTCCAAACTCACCAGGCTTTAACCTACCTAGAGCCGTCAAATCAAGTTGTCTTGCCAGTGTCTCCAAGACAGAACTACAGCCCAAGCCCTGACTGTTTCACAGCAATTAAAAATCCCCAGTGCTTTCTCACTGCATTCGCACACACTGAACATCCCCTGCAGCCCATTACTCCAGGCTGTGAGTGCTATGGCTGCTTCTCCAAGCAAAATCTGCTCAGGTGGCTGATGGCTGGAGGATACAATGCAACTGCAGAAAGGTGTGAGGTCAATGCAGGGTATCATCTGAGAGAAAATAGGGTTGCTTTTCCAGGAGCTGGTGCTCACTGTGTAATTTGCAGCTTTCATTTACCTGCCTGTGCAATGCTCATCAAAGCTTGTAATAGCTGGTACCTTCAAAAGCAATCAGCTGCTACTTTGATTTGCTTTATTCCCAGCTGTATTTACCAACAGCTACAGGGCATGCTCACCCTTCATTTTTATTTTTGCACAGTTAAATTTAGTTCTATAAAACTAAAGAAAAGTGCCTGTTACTGTTTGCCAAAAAGCCACATTTTCCCTTTTAAAGAGCATATTTTACTTAACATTTTGCAAAGTGGAACCAAAATTCTGAGGGTCATTTTCCATCCTAGGCTTCCTAGCAAGAACAAACAGCACATACGGTGTTCTCAAAGCTGCATGCCTCTAACAAAGAGAACTCAAAGTGGTCTGAGAATGTGCATTGTGGGGGCAGAGACTCCCTCTCCATCATCAGTGCACAACACGAAGCATGTTTTGAACAGGGCTCTTGCAATACTGAAGTTGCAAAACTGCCCACAAAAATGGCTGGACAGATTTCTCCTTGGTAGTCTGTTGGGGTTTGCTCAGCAGGAAACAAGAACAAGGTTCTGTATTGATATTTATTGGTCTATTGATGGGAAAGGTACTGTAGGAAAAGAACTATTTTGATAAACTATAGAAGATTTTGTTAAAAAAGGTCAGCAAAAAGAAAAACAAAGTTTTACTATGTGATACCTGGTGCAAAGCATACTGTGTGATATGGAGGAATGAGGACGGGGCTAAAAAAACTGCCCAGCTGCAGTGACAAGGAGGAATGGTTTTAAACTGAGACATGGGAGGTTTAGGTTAGATATTAGGAGAAAGTTTTTCACTCAGAGGGTGGTGACACACTGGAACAGGTTGCTCAAGGAGGCTGTGATGCCCTATCCCCGGAGGCATTCAAGGCCAGGCTGGATGTGGCTCTGGGCAGCCTGGTCTGGTGGTTGGCAATCCTGAACATAGCAGCAGAGTTGAAACTAAATGATCATTGTGGTCCTTTTCAACCCAGTCCATTCTATGATTCTGTGATTCTATGATCTTCCTCTTGGCAGGACAGTGCCTGCAGTTGCTGCTTACCAGCAGCTGATCTCCTCTTCACAGTATGGCAACACTAATGGAGTTGTCCTGACAATAGCAGGTTATTTGGTCCCTCGTGCAACTCTACACATGGAGCACACACATTCTTACATGTGTAGACATGGTGAAGCTGAAACCTCCCCAGGTAAATAATGGAATCATAGAATCATTTGAGCTGGAATGAACCTTACAGTCATCTGGTCCAACTCCCCTGCAATGAACACAGACACTTACAGCTAGATCAGGTGCTCAGCATGACCTTGAATGTCTCCAGGGATGGAGGATCACCTCTCTCATCACCTCTCCATCACCATCACCATCACCATCACCTCTCTCAGCAACTTCTTCCAGTGCCTCACCATCAATACAGTAAAAAACTTTCTCCTTAAATCCAGTCTATGTTTGAAATCCAATCTACTTTGGTTTGCAAACATCTTCCCTTGCTATCACAACAGACCCTGCTAAAGAGTCTGTCCCCTTCTCTCATTAGACACTGAAAGGCAGACCACCTGCAGACTGCCCACGTTGCTCAGAGGCATCCAGAAGAGTATGGATGCACTTTGGTGTGAATTCGCCAAATTTACATTACCCTGTTGCAGTGTGACAGTTCTGAGCCAAGGGACAGATTCTGGAGGACACGTCTTATGAGTGGCTGAGGGAAATGGGGTTGTTCAGTCTGGAGAAGGGAGGGCTCAGGGGAGACCTTATCGCTTTCTACAAAGACCTGAAAGGAGGTTGTGGTGAGGTGGGGGTTGGCCTCTTCTCCCACGTAACAGTGATAGAATGAGGGGTAATGGCCTTATGTTGTGCTGGGAATGTTCAGGTTGGATGTTAAGAAAAAACTATCAGAAAGAGTGGTAATGCATTGGAATGGGCTGCGCAGGGAGGTGGTGGAATCATTGACCATGGAGGTGTTCAGGAAACGTGTAGATGTGGCACTGAGTGATGTGGTTAGTGGGCGTGGGGGAACGGATCGACAGTTGGACTGGATGACCTTAGTGGCCTTTCCCAACCTTTATGAATATTCTATTCTGTGAAAGCAAGCAGTGCAGCCAGGGGTGTTTTACAGCAAAACATGAAGGCTGGGAAGGTGCGTGCATTGCAAGTTCTGACACAAGCTTAATTACACAGCGCTGCAGAACAGACAGATTTATGGAAAACGCAGCATGGGAACAACCCTGTGTTAGCTGCTTGCAGGCGGCTGCAGGACTTCTGCTCCTCACCTGCAGCTCCTTCCTGAGCTGCCCCCTGCTCCCACACCCCTCCCAGCAGTGGCACTGTGCGGAGCCGCAGGCAGTGCCACGCAACGTGCAGCAAAGCGTGCGCAGCTTGGCCCGAGCAGCTGGTGAGAGGCTGAGAGCTTGGCACGGGCTCGTGGCTCCTTCCCTGCGGCACCCTGCACGTCTCCGTACCTCCAGCTGTGAGACTGCACGCATCCAGTGTCAGACGGGAGCCTCGGCCGAAAGGCTCCGAGCGAATGGAAATCCATTTGTTATGAAACCACCTCGGGGGTCGTGTCACACGTCCCCTTCTCACTTGTACCTCAGCAAAGAGGCGGGAGGCTTGTGCAGGGGACGCGTGCTGGCGTCCTGCTGCGTGCGCTCACCCCGAGCGGCGCCTCTCCCGCCAGCGCTTCCTGGCCTGGGACCGCACGGCAACGCGCAACGCGTGAAGCGCCGCTCTCCCTTCTTTCAGCCTCCAAAATGGGGAGGGGGGGGAACAAGGGGAGGACTGGGCTGACGGGCAGCGCTCCTCGAGCCACACAGACCCAGGGGAAGCCGGCGCGGCCCCTGAGGGCGGCCGGGAGGGAAACCGTGAGGAGGGAAACCGTGAGGAGGAAAACCGTGACGAGGCGGCCGCGGAGGGAGCGGAGGGCAGAGCACCACAGCCCCGCATCGGAGCCGCACGCGGCACCCGCCGCCGCTTTCCCACGGCCGGCCCGAGGGGCGGCGCCGAACGGGGCCGGGCGGCGGCCATTGGCCGAGGGCGTCCCGGCGGCGGCCAATGGGGGAGGCGGAGGCCGCGCGTGGCGGCGGCGGGCGGCGGGCGGCGGCGGGCGTTCTCTGCGCGGCTCTGCCCGGCCGGCGGCGGCCCGCCCGCGGCGGGTAAGAGGCGAGGCGTGGGAACGCCATGGGGGAGACGGGCGCGGGGCGAGGCGCGGGGCGCGCGCCGGGCGCCCTCCTGCCGCGCGTCCTCCTGCCGCGCGCCGCCCGCCGCCCGCTCGGCGGCCGCCCGCGCGCCGCCGCCATGAAGCGGGCGCATCCCGACTACAGCTCGTCGGACAGCGAGGAGCTGGACGAGGCCGTGGAGGTGGAGAAGGAGAGCGCGGACGAGAACGGGTGAGAGCGGGCGCCGAGCGGCGGGGGGTGGAGGGAGGGCGGCGGGGGTGGCCGGGCTGACCGCTGTCCCGCGCTCCCCGCAGGAACCTGAGCTCGACCGCGGGCTCCGCGTCGCCGTCCGCCACCTCGCAGATCCTGGCCAGGAAACGGCGCCGAGGGGTGAGTGCCGCCCGCCCCGCCGACCCCCGGCCCCGGCCCGGCCCCTCACCCCGCTTTGTGCCCCGCAGATCATCGAGAAGCGCCGCCGCGACCGCATCAACAACAGCCTGTCCGAGCTGCGCCGGCTGGTGCCCAGCGCCTTCGAGAAGCAGGTAGGCAGGCGGCTGCGCGGGGCTCTGCCCGCCGCGCCGGGGCTCTGCCCGCAGCTCCCGCCCCTCTCCCCTCAGGGATCGGCCAAGCTGGAGAAAGCCGAGATCCTGCAGATGACCGTGGATCACCTGAAGATGCTGCACACGGCCGGAGGGAAAGGTAAAGTTCGGAGCTGCGGCAGCGTTCCCGAGCGCCGCGGGGCTGCCGCGCAACGAGGATGGCAACGCGGCGGCTCTTCTGGGCTCGGGTGTCCGGGCAGAGTGCTGCCCGGCGGTGGCTCTGCCTTGCGCCCTGCAGGGGAGAGGCACTGCGAGGTGTTGCAGCGGTTTGTCGGCGCCGTGCGGTGAGCCGGCTGCTGGCAGCGTGGAGCAGAGCGAGGTTTTGTTGTTGACAGGTGCCGCTCATCTAACGTGCCAAACTTCCAGAACAGAAAACTGGAAAAAAACAAGGGATGGAATGAGAGAATTAGCAGGAACGGCGACGTGTGCTTTAAATGGGAGCAAATGAACTAGTTTGCAAAGTGACCTCTGATAAGTTAGAATTTGTGCTTGTAATGGATTTTGCTGTGCTGTAATTTTGCTTGCACTGGGAGATGTGAAAAGAACAAAAGTACTTTCCTCTCAGCAGCGGTGTGCAATTTCAGCCTGCAGTCACAGGTCTCAGTCTGTAGTCCTGGGAGCTGCAGCATCACAGCACAGATATAAAAGAAGCCCGTTAGCCCCCAAAACAGACGACAGCAACAAAAAAGAAATAATAGGGAGCTTGCCAGCTAATCTACGTTTGGGATTACTAACAAACATCCAAGTGAAAACACTTATAGGGGAAGGTGGTGTGGGAAAGCTACGTGCAGGCAGCGACTGGAAAACAGCGTCTTAAGCCTACATTCTTTTTTTTTTCTCTCTGTAGGTTATTTCGATGCTCATGCTTTGGCTATGGACTACCGGAGTCTTGGGTTCCGAGAGTGCCTGGCTGAAGTGGCTCGATACCTGAGCATTATAGAGGGCCTGGATGCCTCTGACCCGCTGCGGGTCCGACTCGTGTCTCACCTCAATAACTACGCCTCTCAGCGGGAAGCAGCGAGCGGTGCGCACGCTGGCATTGGACACATTCCTTGGGGCAACGCCTTTGGACATCACCCTCACATATCTCACCCATTGCTGCTGCCTCAAAACGGGCCCGGCAATACCAGTACTCCAGCGTCTTCCTCAGAACCGCATCACCAGGGCAGAATTGCCGCCTCACATGCTGAAACTTCCTCACTCAGAGTGCCCCCAAATGGCAGCGTCGGACCAGTGCTCCCCGTGGTCACATCTACTACCAAACTGTCTCCTCCTCTTCTCTCCTCCATGGCGTCGCTGTCTGCGTTCCCCTTTTCGTTTGGCTCGTTCCATCTACTGTCCCCCAATATGCTGAGCCCGTCTGCACCAACACAGTCAGCAAACCTTGGCAAACCATACAGACCGTGGGGGACTGAGATCGGAGCCTTCTAAGAACTAACTCTTTAGTAAGGGTGGGGAAGCCTGCAAACCTAGCTGAGCTGGGTTATGCCACTCTTAACATTGAAGTTCTTAATAACTGGGACGAAGGTACAGCTTCACCTTAACTAAATTTGTCTAGAAACTGTCTCTCTGGATTTTTTTTTGTTTCGTTTTTGTTGTCGTTTTCTACATTTTTGTATTAGCAGGATTTTTTGTTTTTGTTTTTATTTTTGAATAGTTGTCTGAAAATAAAGTTAACAGTAGTGGATGTTAACACTTGTGTTAGATCTGTGCTGAACATTGAAATCAATTTTGTAACAGCTCCTTTCAAATGTTCCGTTTTTCCTGAGTACATCGGACTGCCTTTTTATGAAGACGTATCACCTATTATTGTTAGCTACAGCCTAGTTTAGTTATTAATTTTTCCAAAACCACTCCTCTCAGCCTTAACAAGCTGTGTTTTTGTTAATATTTTGACACTGAGATGTTCTATAAGGAATTACTGTTTTTGTAAACTATATAGGAGTCTTATATTTCTGAACAAAGCGTTGACAAATCAGATGGACCAGCTTGACCAGCTTTATCTAAGAGCCCAGTTTCTGTTTCTTCTGCTGTGATTCAGTATATTTGGAGGTCTTATTCTAGTCCCTAGTGGGTGTTTATTTGCATCACAGAATCATTGCATTATTTCTTCCACCCAAAGGAGCAGTATGTGCTTTAGTGCACACTTTAGAATGGGGAGGGTGCAAAAGCAAAATTAGAAGCTACAGTTGGTTATGAGTTTCATTGCTAGAGATGTGGAAAATTTGTTACACGCAATAGCTTTCCAGCATGTTCAATTTACAGGGCCAGATTCTGCTCTGAGTTACAGCAGAGCAATTGCTGTGTTACTGGTATTCTTGGTTAAGTGAAAGCAGATTCTTTCCCTTTGTGAGCTTCAAATCTGCACCTGAAACAAATTATGCTGGTATTTAGATATCCAGTGGAATGGTACAGTGGGAACCTGTTCAGTGCATGACTTTGTTGCTTAACAAATGTATCCTAACTGGTGCATTTTTTTTGTTGTTGTTTTTGCATTTTGCTTTTAGTGGCAGTTCAGTGCTACTCCTCATTTTGCAAGGGCTCTGCTGCATTCTCGTGTGTGTGAGTGTGTGTGTGTGTGTGTACATGTATATTTTGTTTGATTTCATGAGAATTTTAATCTGAACAGGTTTATCTAGTGAGTTCCACTGGACTAGGTTTGACTGCTCTTGTATTTGTGTTGTGGTTAAATAAAGGAGAAAGAACATATTTTAAATGACACGTTTGTCTGGTATATATATCAGCGGAGAGTTCTGTGCCTTTGGTATCACAGGCAATGCTGCTTAGCCTTTCTCTGGGCATATGCATTTACTTTGTTCTCACTCATCCATTGTGGTGTACTTACATACATGAACTGAGTGTAGAGTGAAGAACCACTGTGCCTCAGGATCATGGCCAAGGGAATGAAAGTTAAGGATGCATTTTTGTGTTACTCCTCCTTGCCCAGCAGTATGTAGGTGGGAAGTGAAGAGATACGAGTTACTGCTAAAGAAGAGTTTAAAGTTGCACAACATCTAATTACTCTTACTGCTTTGTCTTAATAGTAAAAAATGATCATTGTGGATGTGGAACCCCTTGTGGTCAAACCCATGGAAGTCCTATAGCTTTGTGACAAAGTTCTGTTCTTAACTCCTCACTGAGTTCATTTTCTGTGTGTTAGTGCAGGGTGTACCCACAGTCTCTGACTGATCCTCTGCTTGTCACCACTCAGTGTTAATGGCACCTTCTGCTTTTTCTTCAAGCAGCAACCTGACAGGCTTAAATGTAGATGGAGGGTTTTCTCCTTGAAAGACGTATGAGCAGATGATCCCACCTGCAAACCTCTACCTGGAGAATTTCTCTTGGGAGTACCTCACTCCTTTCCCATGTGTTAGAATTTGTAGTACTCTTGTATTGGTACGTGGTGTATCCTCATCTGGATTTAGCTCTGCCAGAAGTGCAGAAAGAGCTCGGCCCTGTGGGAGAAGAGTGCTTTGTTTAAAGAAGGGCTCTCGGGCCAATTAAGGAGTGGCATTGACGAGAGGCTGAGAGGGCTAGGCTTTCTCGGAAGGATTGCTGTGAAGCTGGAAAGAGTGGGAGGTTATTCAAGTGTGTAACCTTGTTTTACCTTCTTTCCCAGGCTGCAGGGGACCACTGCTAGAGACAAAATGCAAAACCCTTGGGCTGCTAGGAATATATAGGTGTTATCGAGATTATCGATTATAGCGTTTTACGTATAAACATGAAATAAGAGGCTGTAAAATTCCAAACCCAGTTTCCTTTTCACAGTACGTATTGTCTCCTGTTTAGTTATGCCCTGCCCAGTGCTTAATAGGTTTTTATACTAAATTAGCGACTCCTACGTAGAAGATTACTACTGTGCGTGCAACTTTAGATCTTCTAATAAATGGCAACTTTTCTCAGCCCTTTAATGGTTATTTCACTGACATTCGAATTACTTTGCTTGCCCTTACATAGCTGGCTCTTCTGTGTAGAAAGACCCCTGCAATTGCTTCTGTCTCACCGTCTTCATCTTGAATGAACTTCAGAAACAGAGGGCAATAAAAGTTTAGATGCTGTGTTTATACTCAGTCTTATCTTTCCATTACCAGTGTCAAAAGTATTAAAGCACTAATCTTATTCAATTCATGCAATACATCTGTATTAACTTTTAGAGACTGAAAATCCACTGACTGCTCCTTAGAAGCAGGTGAATGAATTCCAGGAACTCAGGAAAGCTAAAAATTCAAATGGAAAAAGCCTGACCCAGAAGCTGATGCATGGGGATTAGAAGTTCGGGGCTATATTACAACTTGTGCTGCTCAGTAAGTCATGCTTGGCAATCGCTTAGCCGTATCTGTTTTGTCAGCTGTGAAAAAGCAGTGGCATTGCTCGTTCTCTTTTCTTCAGGACAGAGTGGTAGCTGGAAGTTTTCTATATAAATGACAGCTACTGTTGTTTCTCAAAAACTGAAGTTGTGAGACATTCAGCTATTTTTATTTCCTACAAAATGATGGGTTTCCAAAGACAGACTGAGAGAGGCAAAATAAGCTTACTCCTATAGATAACAGATATCTCCTGAGCACCAAGTATTTCCTTGTTTACCCTATTAAAAACAAACAAACAAACAAAAGCCAACAACCAACCAACCAAAAAAACCCAACAACCCCAAACAATCCAGAAGCGAAAACGTAACCAGAGAGGTGGTAGAGAAGAAAGAAAATGCAGATATGACTTGATCCCATGACCCCTCCAGCTCCTTAAATTGCTTTGGATGAACTGCGTCTGGCTGGAAATCCTCAGGCGAGCATTTTGTGTGGGATGTAAGACGATGTGGTATTTTAAATCAGCAAAAACTATCTTCCTATATCAAAGAAGCTGGATTCGAGTGCAGAGTAAATTTAAGGAGCTGGTAAATACTGCATAAAGCCAGATACAAACCTCTGGAAATCCATTCTGTGCTTTGGCATAAAGGAATAGCTCATCAAAGTGACATTTTTTTGCTTTTGGAAAGAAGCTGTCACTAGTTCTTAGGCCTATTTCTGTTCAGCACTCCTGTCTTACACTCGTAGCATGACAGACTGTATTAGGATCATGCTAAAAAATGATGAATCCTGACTGTTGCCCTCCTCAGTCACACGTCAGCATGTGAGTCCCCAGGTGACAGGAGCCTTTCTAGGCTTACTTAGCAGTGGGAAGCCTGCCAGGTCTTCCCTCACAACAAACAAGCCCGAGTGAGCACAGATAAACTGAAATCCTTCTTCCTGTTTTATATTGTGTGCCTGTTCACAGCCATTCCTTGCCAGAAACTCCCAGTTTGGATTGCAATATACTCCATGCTGAGCTGAAGCCTGCAGCAAATCACGTGCAGGCTGTGGGCTTTCTGCTGGGAGGCAACAAAAATGATTTGCAAAGCCCTTTTCTGGGGTGTTACATGAAAGGCTATAGAGATGGACTGTGGTACTTGCCAGGTGACTCAGTGTGCTGAGGCTTTTGCCCGGCTTGTAAATAAAAATTAGGCCAGTCTCTTTCTTCTGGAGCCAGAAGATGAAGGCATTAACTCATGCCTGCAATATAGTAGCATGACTGCAGTAATAAATGTTGAAATGCCAGTGTCCGGTAAGATACAGGCATTTGAAGGTGTCTTTTGGGAATCTGAAGAATTCATCTGAAGAAAGTCCTTATGAAGGAAGTGCTTGGGTATTTTATGTCATACTCACTCATACCATCTTGTCCAGTCCATTTTTTTCTTTAGCAAATTCATACAAATTATTCATACAACATGAAGGCATAGACCAAATGGCTTTGCTTTGACCGTGCTGTGTGCAGCCTGCCCAAGCCTTCCCAGGACCCCAGAGTTCAGAGGCAGAGGTTGTTTTCCAGCTGTGCCTTGTTCTTCAGTATATCACGTAACACAGCTGTATAACACAGCAAGAATTCCCCAAGTGCCTGAAACAGCTCAGCACTTGGGGGCATTCTGCCTTACTTACAGAGCCCTCAATCACATTGCGTTCCTTGGACCTTTTCAGAGGCTTTTTCAGGCTGCTTTCTTCAGGAGAAGCCTCCAGGAAAGTAAAGGGAATAACTGGATGCAGTTCTGCACATTTCTGTGCTCCTGCCTGACAGGGCGGCCCCAGCACAGGAGGTCTCTGCAGATCACTCTTATACCTCTGTGTTGGAAATGCTTCTGGGAGGTCTCCAGACAACCTTGTATTTCTCCAGGGTAAGCTGCAAAGTCAAGGAACAGACAGTAGTAATGGCTCAAATGCTGATGGTTTGTGCACTTCTCCGTTTTGCCCTGCGTTTACAGAAGAAAGGATTTTGAAGCAGAAAGGTTGGTGGGATAGCCTTGGGGAGAGAATGGCAGAGAACAGGAAGGAAGGCTAATGTGGATCAAAGGAAAACTGAGGCTGTGAACAGATGAAGAGATGAATTGTTTGCATTGTCTATTGCAAAGGTACGGAAACAACTGTCGTCAGATGACAAAATAAGCTGCATGCTAGTGCTTAAAGAGTTTGGAAAGAGGAGAACAATAATCTCAGTAAATCACAGTTTTGCTCAGTAAGCCAGAATCAGATAAACATGCAAAAACTGTGGCATGTGATTTAAAACCAAGATGGTGCTGAAACAAATGTGTATGGATGTCTCTATCAATTTTGATGGGCAGTCTCATCAGCTAAAGGGGAAATAGAGGTGGTCATTCCCAGCTGTAATAATGCATCATAGCATGATTTGATGATTGTATTTGTGCAATCTGGTCAAGCGAGTGTAAGGAAGTGGAAGAATTGAAGTGTGGTCTATGAGTGAGAGTGGTTCATGGGGCCCAACACAATGGGGAATTTGATGCACTGGGATAACTGGTACTATCTCCTGATCACTGGCAGCCATTCCCACGAAGTTCTCAGCCTTACCTGCTTCATTCTCAGTTTCTGATACAGTGTTTTGGGACACATTTACTTATCTACATAGCTATGGGATTTCCTTTACCATAGGGTGAACAGTACAGATCCACGTTCTACTAGTGAAAAACTGGATCTAGTGAAAGAGAGTATGGAACCATTTTGGTAATAAGGAACATCCAGTAGAGAGAACTCACAATTGCTGACTTACTTCATGTTATGCATATGCTATTTATAGTGCAGATAATAACGTGGTAATGCTAGTTTCTATTATCACCAAGCCTGTCTTCTTTATCAGGGAGACCATTTCAGAGACTGAATTTCAATATTAAAAGATGAAATGAAAAGAATTGTCACCTATTATTGTTCGGTGATGGTTATGTAAAAATGTGTGGGATTGTATGGTGATTTAAAATTGTAACGAAGGGGACTGAAGTGTGTGCAGTACGAACTGTTTCACATGCTACACAGCAAGCAGATTTTTTACTTCATAAGGAAAACATCAATTTGATTGAACAATGTGCCCTCTATAATGTTGTTGCCTATCTGTCTGTAGATTGCCCCTTTGAATTTCTCTGGGATTCATTGCGTCTTCTGTTAAGAGGAAATTATCAACAACAAGAGGAAATCCTGTACTAGTACTGAATAGTCCTTATTTTAAAGGTACTTCCCTTCTTGTGGGAATTGTATATAATCAGAACAACACTCCATAAAACCGACAAATTATTTTAGAAGGAGACAGGTCAGCCTTTTATTTAAAAGGTCTGACGTTATTCTACAGAAGAAAATCAATTGTTAGAGTGGATGACATTCTCTGTGAGTTGCCTGT